GTACTCAAGTAACAATTTGGAGTACCGAAGTAACGAAATACCAGAGTAATGGTTTGCTGTACCGGAGTACCCTAGTAACGATTTGGAGTACCGAAATACGCAGCTAATGATTTTGCGCACTGAAGGAACTCTGCCACGTCACCACATGTTTGATTTTATCTGTACGGAGTCACATTTTGAATATCAGAAAACATGTCAACTACGGAAATGTCTGAGGAGCAGGCAATTCATGGACACAAGGAGCGCATATCACCATTTCGCAAATACAACCAGATACTACTGTCCTCGTACCAAAACCGAAGTGAGCTGAACCCTCATCGATCCTCCAGTAATGAATACCGAAATACCAAAAAGTAACGAATACCGAAAAGTACCCGTTTTGGTACAGAAGTAACGAATACCGAAAAGTACCGAGTTCAGTACAGAAGTAACGAATACCGAAAAGTACCGATTTCGGTACTGAAGTAACGGGTACTTGAACGTACCGATTTTCAGTACCCGTTGCAACTATGTGCCCGTTACAAAATACCCGGTTCGGTAGTACAGTCATCACTAGTTATGATGCGCAAATACAAGTACTGAGATCTTGAAAAACTCATTAGTTTATTAAACTTCAACAGTGAAAGAAAAATATTGCACTTATTATACTAAATATAATATTTGATTGTTTTATTAACTATTGTTGTAATTATTTATGTACAGTCATAAATATTTAATTTTCCCATTTTATTTGTCTTAATTGTTCTATTTTTAATTTATGAATAACAGAAATTATAATATTGTATCATTTTAAATTTTCACCTAAAAATTATATATATATAATATGTATACATATACACATACAAACAATACAGTTTGGTGAAATAAACTGTATTTCCAAACTGAAATGTATTTCCAAAGCGGTCCATATACTCTTTTGGGTTGGACAGGGCTAGGCTAGTAGATAGCTTGCTCAAGGATGGTCCAACAACTAACTGCATCCAAAAAGCATTTTTGGTCACTGTTAGTTCAAAGAAACTGAAGTGACTACAAGAGAGTTTGTTTAACCCTTTGACGCACGCGATATTATTTTTATAATTTTTTTAACTAAAAACTCTAGAAATTGAATATTATGATCCTAGAGACAAATAATATATAAATTTTAAAAATATACTTTTGCCCTTAAATACTAATTTAAAAATATACTTTTGCCTTTAAATAAATTAAATAAATTTTTAAAAATATACTTTTATTTTAAAAATATACTTTTCTGTGGGTGGTGGTCGCACTGTGAAACCACCGCGCGTCTAAGACTTTGAAACTTACTACTGAGGTAGTAGGAAAAAAAAAACCTTACCTTTCTCCGCACGAGTTTTTAATAAATAGCGAAATTTACGAATTTGAAAAAAAAAAATGTATGCAAGAATTGCATTATATATAATTTTTTTCATTATTTTCCAAAGTAAATCGTCAGAAAAAATTACAAAATAAACATTTATGTAATTTTTCTATAGCAGTGAAAATATAAGTACCTACATAATAAGGACGTTTGGCTACATGGATAAAAACTCAGTAAAATGAGGATAAGACTTTTTTTTTTTTTTTTTTTTAATTTCAAAGAACAAATTTTTTTGTGACGCTGTTCAAAGCATGTTTTGTCTTTTTGGTGCATGCATAGACCCAATTGCACGTTTCGCACATGTATCTTCTTCTATGAGGTTTCTTCCTTGTGCTACAATATGTACACTGCCTGGATCTAAGTTTCATTGGTATATGTGCAGCTTTATTTAGTTTCTTTGATCTGGCACATGAAATTTGTGGTTTTTTTATGCTAATGGGGGGGGCCTTGGTTTTTTTCTTATTTTATTCGTATTTCGTCCGAAAATATTTTCAATTTAAATGAAACTTTAACGAGATTTTTATTTTTAATTATAGCAAAGTATATTTACATTAAATTTAAACCACAGGAAATAATTTATAAAATCACAATACTAGCTTGAGGAGCAAGTGTGTTGAGGTCAGAGAAAAGTCTCTGGAAAAGAAAGACATTTTTACTGGGCAGGTGCATGTATTGTTTAGTAATAAAATAACTCTGTGATTTCAAAACCCCTTATCTATATCCAAGTAAAAATAAACATTCACTTTTGAGAAGCAAGCAAACATTGTGAAGAGCAATGGTTTCAAGGTGCGACCACCGAGCCTCTAGAGCATTAGACACAATGCTCAGTGGTCGCGCCCTGAAACCACAAAGTAAATGCCATACATATAGAGGTTTTTTTTATATATGCAGTTTAATTATAGCTATTTTTTATTGTTTATGATAGAAATTATGATGTACATGTGAATTTAAATTTTGAAATTTAAAGTTGTCTATATTAATAAAAGGAAGTTACTTTGTCTCATTGAAAATGAATTTTAAAAGGCATCCGATTTGAAGTACTAAGACCTAAAACATGTATGAATCTGCAGTCATTTTGTGTTATTTTGAGGTAAAAGATCAGTAATCAATTGATTTTCACTCAAAAATTTTGGAAAGAAGAGGAGAAAAAAATTTGAAAATTGGTGTTTTTGAGGCGCAACCACCGCACGTCAAAGGTAGACTTAGGCGCCAAAAACCGATAGCCATTTATGCAGAAAGGCTCAGAGTTGTTTAGTGAAAAAAATGGTTTGTCCATATTTCAAGGTGCGTTTCAGCTCGGTGCATCAGAGAAAATCACCACGACAAAAATACAAAAACTGCTCAAAACATTAAAGGATATTGTAAGTTTTATATAAAATAAAGATATAAGCGAAATTTTTTTTGCCGAAAATGGAAGAAGAGAATCACAAATGCAAATTTTTCTGATTTTCAAACTGTGGAGTATGCTAATTTTGAGTTCGACGTCAAAAACGTCGCTTCAGCGGCAGCGAATGAAATTTGACTTTCAACTGAATAAAAGACAATGAAGACAAGGATGATCGGCATTCAGTGACTGCTTTGTTTCGATGAGTACGATGTCTCAGCGAAGTCATTTAACCGATTTCAGAAGCTTGGAGAGTTGTTGGTAGGTTAGAAGGGGGCCAAACTCAAGCCGAAGTAGCGCAAGCCATTGGAGTGTCACAAAGTGTGATTTCCAGGATCTGGAACCGTTTTTTGGAAACTGGAAGTGCAGGCCGAAGACCAGGGCAAGGTCGTAGACGGGCAACAACGCCCAATGAAGATCGTTATTTAGTGTTAACGGCTCGGAGACACCGAAATATGAATGCTACTCTTCTCCAACAACACCTTCGCTCGGCTACTGGCACCACGGTTTCAACTCAGACTGTCCGAAACCGGCTCCATGGTGTAGGTCTGTATGCTCGCCGACCGATGGTATGTGTTAGACTAACATCAAGGCATCGTCGCGACCGCAGGGAGTGGGCAACAGAGCATGTGAACTGGAGGAGAAATGAATGGAGCAATGTTCTTTTTTCTGACGAGTCCCGTTTTTCTGTTCATCCTGATAATAGGCGTATTTTCATCTGGAGGGACCGTGGCAGTAGGAATAATCCTGCGTTCGTGCACGAAAGTGTCAGATTTGGCGGTGGGGGAGTGTTGGTGTATGGTGGCATCTCCATTGCAGACCTCTACATCATTAGAGATGGACCTCTGACTGGTCGCCGATATAGGGATGAGATCCTCAGACCTATTGTAGTCCCTTACGCTGCAGCAATCGGAGATGACTTCATTTTAATGGACGATAACTGCAGGCCACATCGTGCTAACCTGGTGGAGGATTTCCTTTTCGAGGAAGGAATCGTACGAATGGAATGGCCAGCGTGTTCTCCAGACAGGAATCCAATAGAGCACGTTTAGGACGCTCTAGGAAGACGATTTGCTGGCCGCCAACCACCCCCACAAACTCTCCAAGAACTGGAAAGAGCTCTTCTGGAAGAGTGGGACAGAATACCCCAACTTGTGATTAACAGTCTCATTGACTCATGCCTCAAAGGTGTTCAACGTTGCTGGCCATCCGGCAACGTTGAACACCTTTGACAACAACTTTATGGCAACAAACCATACCCCTACTGAAAATGATTTCCTTTAAAGAAAACACCTTTTTTATTCTTTTTTCTCATATGCACAAACTGTGTTTTTTTCCCTTTGTACACAAATGCGCAATAAAATGCATTTTTTTCTGCCAAACATGTGTAAGTTATACTCATATAACCTACTACGTTTGTCGACCATGTATCAATCAGCTAAAAGATTTTCCAGCCACAAGATCCACCTAAAACCGCAATATCCTTTAATTGTTTTGAGCAGTGTATTTTCATTTGGCTATCCATGGTTTAAAGCATTAATTATATCAGTGGTAGCAGACTACCTTAAATTTTTCATCATTTTCAGTTTGTACTGATATCGGCTGAATATTTTACACTGCATCTAAACAAAAGTTACTTAATATTCATTAAGTTCTTATGCTTAAAAAGCTTATTTAGCTAAGTAATTAAACCTAAAAATTAATACCTGTTTGAAAGTACTATAACACTCATACATATGAAAAAAAGCAATTTTTTATTACTGATTATGTGTACTATACTAATTCTTAATTTTAGGAAATCAAACTGAATATTTAAACCTCTGTTTCCTATTCAACATCCATTTTTAATCTATGCCTTTTCAAATTTTAGCAAACAACTACACTCATGCAAGCAAACACTTTTAGAACTTATTTTAGATGCACTTTGTTTTTTCATTTCTCTTAAATGTTTTTATGAAAATTATCAGAATTTATCTGCCACATTAAAGTAATTGCTCTCTAACAAGTATTTAAGTTCATTTAAGAGCTTTAAAAAGAAACTTACATAAGTAGAATTTACTTAATAATCATCTTAAAAAACTATATATCTTCATTTAAAAAAAATGAGCTGCATTTCATACTGTTTTGAAATGAAAAGCATTTATGTATTTCAATCCATACGCAATCTTGCGAAGGTTTATTTTCCTAAGAATGAATTATATGATTGAAGAAATAAATGAACGAAGATAAGAAACAAACCAGACTGAGCAGCAGCTTCTCTTTCAGATTCTGAGGCTCTACTTTCATTTTCATTATCTATTTTATGGAAATGAGAGAAGAAACCAGTTACATAAAACATCTAAATGATATACATACTTTTTCTTACTAATGCTAACTGTGATATAAAGTTAAATTTAATGCATAGTTGTAAAACACTTGCTTTCCAGAAAGAGATCCATATCAAATTATTTCTTGAAGTACTGCACTCAGTATAAAACCAAAGTATCTTACCTCAAATTTGAAAATTCAAATTATGCTTTAGTTCCATTAATTACTTTTATATATTTATATAAGGATATATATATACTCATATAAGGATATTTTTGGGGGGAGGGAGATATATTTACATGCATCTAAAATAAAAAGATAATTTAAGTCTTTAAGGAAGCTTTCAATAACTGATGTTTTAAGTACAGAAATATTTTATTACAAGTTCTATTATTGGAAACTACAGAGACATAGCCTTAATACCAACACCCAAAACTATCTCAAATACAAAGCATTGTACTGAAACTGATATTCAGGCTTGTACTGAAATTACTGTACCATGACAAACATCATTATCACTTCCCAATGGATTAATGATGATCATCAGCTACAGATTAATGATTCCCATGGATTAATGATGGTCATTGCCTATAATTAACTCGGACATTTCCCACTGAAATTCAAGTTTCAATTTTCTTGATTTTGCATGATCAGTCAGAACAATTTCCTTTACCAAACACAATGAATTAAGTACCAACAAATGACTAATTTTATAGGTTTATTACAAAGTGTAGTGCAACACAAAAAGCATTATAAAAATTTAACTCATCTTATGTGTAAAAATATAATAAATATAATAATTTTCAAAAAGAAATATCAAACTCATAACAAACAAAAAATTCATACTGCAAAAGAAATAATATATCAGTAATAATAAATATTTTTTGGTGTTCCAAAATAAAAGCGAGAGATTTAAAATTTTGTACCAGATAAAAAAAAAAAAAAAAAAAATCCTGATGTGGACACGTCATAACCTCCTTGTATGGCATTAAATTATGCACATTGTCAGCTGTATTTCATTGACACTTATTTCCTCAAACTTCATTAGAGATATATTTCTCATTTAATTAATTAAATTCTCACTTCACAGCAAGGCAAAAATACATAAAATCTCAAAACATGTTTATAAAAATTGTAAAATATACATAATTAAACAAATAAGCAAAAACATTTCTAAAGAAAGGGTAGTATTCAATTACATTCCTAAACAGAAGATTGGTAAGGAGTGCACTAAGAAGTGAAGAAGAGCTACAGTATCAGATTCTAGAATTAATAGTAATTTACACATTCCTACAAGCAGAAATTTAAGCTTTCACATTCAACACATACTAAAACAATTAAAATTGAAAAAAAAATCACTTTAATTTAAAATGACATTATAAGATTGTTTGCTTTTCATTTAAATATAGAATATGAAATAAAATTTTAAATTCTCTAAGAAATAAAATACTATGACCTTGTGAACTTACGTGGAATACTGCGAGTATGTAATTTAGCAACTTCTCTTTGCAATCGATCAATATTTTCAGATTCTTCTTCCATTTCTTTCACACGAGCTTTTATCATTTCAACATCCTAATAGAAATTTTGAAAATAATTCCTAACTAATAGTTGATTAAAAAATAAATAAAGTAAGAGACTGAAAGATACTTTCCAAAGTTACATTTCTTTACAACTTTTATTTATTTACAATAAATAATGAGGCTGAAAGTTACTTTAATCATATTAAAATTAAAAATGTGCATCATGCATATTCTCATACTTTTATTAAAGAGTATGCCATATTACCCTATAATAATTATTTTCAGTCATAAAAATGTCTAATATTAAAATTACAAAATTTATAATAATTTACAAACAATACAGCCTGGTGAAATAAAATGCATTTCCAAAGTGGCCCACATAGTCTTTTGGGCTGGACAGGGCTAGTAAATTGTACAGCAAATTATTATAAATTTTGTAAAATCTTAAAAGAAATTAAATGCATCTTTTTGAGAAGGAATAAAAAAAATTCTCTATTCTACTGTAAATTGTTTCTATTTAATTTTCTGCTCTTCTGGTATCTGCACTGCATTAAAAAGGACATAATCCAAATTTAAAATTTTTACAAAGTTTTAATTTTCTTCTCAGGAAATTCTAAAAATCTTTCTGCAAAATTCATATTCTGCAGAAATTTTCCAAATAAAGTTCAATAATGCTGTGATTTCCCTTCTCTAGTAAAATTAGTATTTAGTAATAGAAAATATTCCAAAACATTTATTTTCAATATTTTATTTTATGGAAATTCTCAAAAATTATATTAATGATTTGTTACGCTATATATTTTTAAATCATACTTAATAATCATATGAATTGGAAAATAATACCTACAATTTCCTGAGAGGTAGATGATTACCTCAGATTTATTTTACTCACATCAAAGAAAACTTGTACACATTAACTTTTGTGTCACATTGCTATTGTTCCTGCAGGCAATATGCCAGTACAACTCAAAGCTGATAATGTATCCTCAGTATTTAAAAATTGCCATCTGATATTTAACCCTTTCAGATGCTCAGCCGGCACTGCTCAAGTTATATTCAAGTCATTTTAAGCATTATGCCTTTTTATTTTATATTACTTTTATATAGTAATATAACAAATAAAAATATCAACTGCAGTTCAAACCTTTTATCCAGCATGATTACTTCTAGTAAAAGCTAGACTATCCACAATACTTAGGAAATGAGAAATTCCCAGATAATTGAGTATATACAAAATGGAATTAAAGATAGAAAAGCTACATGAATAGAGAAAAAATTTCTGATCTAAAATTATAAAAATAGTTATCTTTATTTGTTATCAGCTTGAATATCAAAAGCCTATGTTTAAAATTCTGTAAAACTGGGAGGGGGATTGCATTTTGTATATAAAATTCAACATGCTTCATAGCCTTCAACATATAAAATTTAAACATCTTATCCGATTACAAAATGTCGCTGGCCATAGAATTAAATGGAGATGCCTCCAAACTTGTTTAAACCATTCCAGTAAAAACTAAATAATTAATCAAAATAAATAAAAGATTACTCTGCTTTCACAGTAAAAAAAAAAAAGTATGTAAAATGCTTAAAAATTGTTATCAATATGACAATTTATTACAAATTGATTGGAATGCATTTTGGTAAAAGAGATGGGAGTAATTTAATGTTTGACGGAAAACTTGCATCAAAGGCATTCCTTCTAAATTCCAGTGAATTGACTAAGCACTTTTTCTTAGAGGGGTTCCAAAGAAATGCATCCAAATTTCATCCCAAATAAAATTTTTCTTAGTGGTGCTCCAACGAAATTTGTTATCTTTGTACACTTAATGATGATTTAAGATAAACATTTTAATTTTTTTTCCCTTTACATAAAATGCATGTTAACACTCACACAAAAAAGGAGATATTTTCACTTGCATTATATTTTTTTTAATGTATAAGGCTTACTCTACTGACTGCCTCAGTTAAACATACTAATGAGAGTAGCCACCAGCCTATTGTGAATTTTGGAATCTCCCAAATGTTCCCATGCTATAATAACTCCCCACTTTTCTTTGCATATCTTTTTCCAAAGATGAATTCTTGGAACAATAGGGAAGGTATAAGTAACATCTTCTGAAAGAAAGCCATGTAATTCTATTCACATTTTAAGAAGTTATCAGTAGGGTTTCAAGAGTCCTGTACATGCTTGAAGACAGCTTTACAAGTCTCTCATTTGCTTAATTTTTTTTTAAATATAGTTTAAAAAAAATTTATATTTAAAATATAATTTTAATATAGTTACGTGAATGTCAGATTGTTGGGCTTTTGTTATACTTTTACATTATATCTAACAATTTAAAATTTTTAGTGTTCTAGTATATTTGTTGTCAAATCTATTTTTCTTCCTTTTGCACAATAATGATTAAAGCAGCCTGACAAAGTTAGACATATAAATTTATGCTTAGTATGAAAGCAGCAGAACAGAGTACTTAATAATGAAATCAGTTTTAAGTGCACTACAAAATCCCTTAATTGAGGCACATTTCCTATTAACATTTACCCTTCGAAAATTGTATTTTAGATGTACTGTTACTTTTGGTTTGATGTTGCCTTTGTTTTCTCATTTCAGGAAACAAAATGAAACAGATCACAAAATATTTTGTGAAATTTACAATGTCAGAAATATAAATGAAAAGATAAAAGCAGCAGCCCACAATGTTTAATTTTTAGATACAAAATATGTGGTAAGACTTAAAAACAAATCAGCCTATAAAAACTATAAAACTCAGAACTATAAAAACATCTTACATATTTTAGACAAATATAGCACCACAGGTTCCAATTACTTAAAATTAATGCAAGCACCATAACTCAAGTTAAAGCAGATTACATCACACCAATATGAAAAGCAGTAAAAAGACAGAACTGTACATTAACGAGAAGCTGGTGAAAATTCCATGGTTGGTGACTGCAAACACTTGCACAGCTTTCAAAGCATCAATGTTCCAGCCACCCAATGAATGATTTTCATTCAATAACAATGTAAAACACAACTTAAAATGTACAATTTAGCAATTCCGATTCTCAAATATGCACTTTATATTCAGTAACTAATTATAATATCCCAAACGGTCATACTTGAATGTTAACCTTAAATAAATTCAAATTCCTTTAGATGATAGATTACAATAAAAACTTGTTTCCAACAAAGCTCAAATTTTTTTTTAATTACCAATGTCCAATATAAGAATAACATATTTTGGATTCATGTGTTTTCAAGATCCTATCTGCAGTGTGCATATTTACCATTCTAAGACAACCATTCTGGTTTAAAACCACAACTGTTATCCTTCTTACTACTCTAACACAGCCACTCTGGCCTAAAATCACAACTATTCTTCTTAGAACACATTTACATTTTGGAAGGTTATCCTCTTTCAAAACTACCATATTTTTTAAAACTCCATTTTTGACATTGTTGTAGATGATTTAAGTAATCCAAGTTTCATCATTTCCATATATGTTGAGTAACCTTTTCAACTTTTTTCTATATAGACAGACAATTATTAGGTATATGGATCGGGTTCAGCTATTGTATTTATGGTTCGGCCAATTAGAAAATATCCAGATGCTAAAGCCTCATGATCATTAATATCAGATGAAATCGGGCTTGATGATTTAGAATTTAAAATTCCTCCAGGCTTGGTAATTAGAGTGATGAATTCTTCATAATTAAAATTTGTGTTTCCAACAGTCCTCATAAAATGATGTTTAACAGACCTTCACCCCGGCATCCCAGAGCCCACCAAAATTTGTTCCAGAAGAGATAAATTTCCAATTGATTTCATCAGATACCAAGAATTTTCCTAAAATGTCGTCAAGATCAGTAAATTACATGAATAGAGAAAACTACATGAATAGAGAAAGAAATTTCTGATCTAAAATTATAAAAATAGTTCTTATTTGTTATCAGCTACAAGTCATTTGACCTCTGCTTGGGCTCCAGCAAAATTTGTAAGCATTGTCAGAAAACAAGATGCACCTTTTTCCATACCTTACAAAGAATCTTTAACACTGGATTGTATTTGATCGCAAGGTTGCCTACCGTATCTATAAGGACAGTCTTAATGGCCATACAAACAAAAATTGCCACATATATTATAGGAAGGGAATTCTTTCTTTGAATTTTATATTTGATCTAAAAAGGTCTGGCAAGTCAACTCATGAATTGTAAATGAGAAATTTATAGTAATTCTTTCAGGTGGGAAATTTTCCATTAATTGTTCCACAATTATAGGTTTATTTCTTACTCAGGAGCAGAATTATAAACAATATTTCTAAAATGAGTGAAAATTTATGATTTGTAAAATACAAGAGTGTTTCCAATTGTTCAATTCCAAACTTTCAATCCAATTGATTCAAAACGTAACACATTGCCTTTTAAAACTCAAGCAGCTGGCACTGTGCGAATGGATGTAACGTGAAATTTGAATAAAGAACTTATTCTTCTGCTCAGCGTACGTGATATTGCAGATCACGAGACTTTATCGGTGTTTATGTAGATTTTACGCTTTTTTAAAAGTGTTGGCATATTGCACTTGAACTAAATCAGAAAATGTGCATAATAAAAGGTAATTTTATTCCGTATTAATTTGCATTTGTTAACACTCTATTTTCTATTACATAGCGCCAAATATTCCCCTAGCGGTGACTTTTGGAATCAATTTGTTTTTTCGCGGAATCCTTTGTACCCCGTCTTGTTTAATCTTCCTACAAAATGTGGCGTCCTTCTCGCAAATAGATAGCGCTACAGAACACTGTGAGCACTGTCAGTTTAATTATGGCCACCCGGTATATATAAGAACTCAACCATAATTATACTTCCAACAATCAGCACTGAAACAACCAAAATACATCCAGTGGTTCCAAATAACTTGTCTCTAATAAAAGTGAGTCTTATAGAATATGATTGTCAGTGACATTTAATAATGCTTTTTTATGTTCTTAGATATAATATCTACTTTTTAAAAGTGGTTGCCCATTGGAGGTTTCAGTAATTTTTTT